GAACTTAACTGTCTGATACATGTGAAGTCACTGTCTCTGGATTGCTTGAACTCTGGGGCAAGAGAAAAGAAACACAGCTAATGATGTACTATTATAATCTAATGCCAAAGAATGGTTGGAGTACTGTACTAGCATGAGTAAGAGAAAACAGCACGACTGAGAGTTGTTAGGATGCTCAAATTCTGGTCCTGGTAATTAATTAGCTCTGTGTGGTTTCAAGCAAACCAGTTACTTTTTGGTGGGTTAATTTTTTTCACATATCAAATAAAGATTGAACAGATAAATTCTAATCTTTGTGATTTTAATACTCGCTGAATTAATTTTCCAGTATGACTCAAGTTTAGAGGACTTGAGCAGGAATAGAAATGACCTTTATAGGGGCCGGGGAGATGGCTCAGTGGGATAAGCGCTTCCCTGGCAAGCACAAGGACCTGAGTTCAATCCTCGGTTCCACAAAAGAAAAAAAAAGAAATGACCTTTATGGGAAATCATGTATATGGAGGCCTTGAAAGATTTGGTTGGGTAGACAAAAAGATGGAGAAAAATTAAGAATGGAGAAGTAAATATACATAAATGATTGAGGCCAGGAAAGTGTTTGGCATATTTGGGAAACTTGAAGCATAGGACCCTTGTGCATTTGTGAGAGATGAGATTCACTTAGTAGTTTGGAATTAAGTGGCCCTAAATGCCAGAGTTTATCCTCAGGCTATAAGTTATGGGCAGCTGCTGAGGGAGGTGTAGCCAGAGAGTGATACCATGTGTTATTTTTAGTAAGCTTTGTCCATGGTAATTAAAATATATTTCATTAATTCCAACTCTTTTCTCTAAACTTTAGGAAGGTGGATAGAGCATCTTCTAAATTCCTCAACCCACAGCTGAAGACAGAAATCCTGAAGTGAAGTCCTCAGCTAAGCTGATGGCAGAAGCATCAGTATCATATGAAAGATTGGACTTGTCTTTCCTAGGATCTATACACTTATGTGGCATGGCACTTAGAACCATTGCCATTCTGTTAGTCACCTTGAGTAATTTCATTAGAAATATCTATGACTCATAGGTCATACTAAATTTGAGTTTTGTTTAGTCAACTATAGATATAAAGATAAATCATGTTAGTTTCCTTGACCTTTCCCTAAAATAAAATAAAAAAATTCTCATGGATGATGAAGATGATCCATTATAATAAAAATACGCACTTTCACAACAGAAGAGTGATGTGGGTGGATAATGGTGATGATGACAATGAAAGGCTGAGATGGGACAGTGATGACTTGGACAAAACCCTTGAATCAACCTGGCTGGGCTTGGTGATGCACACCTGTAATCTCAATACTCAGGAGGCTGAGCACTGCAAGTTCAAGACCAGCCTGTGATACAGTGAGAGTTCTAAGCCAACCTGAACTGCATAGTGAGCTTCTATCTCAAAAAACAACTACCAGGGGCCTGGGAGATGGCTCAGTAGAATAAGCGCTTGCCTGGCAAGTATAAGGGCCTGAGTTCAATCCCTGGTTCCACCAAAAACAAAACAAAACTACCAAAACAAAATAATCAGAGCCGACCAGATAGCCCAGTGGACAAAAGCACCTGCTTGGGCAGGCCCAGGGACTAGGGGTTTGATTCTCGGTGTACCATGCCAGCCCTGCCCCTGGGCATGGTGATACATGCCTAGAATCCCAGCACTTGGGAGGTTGAAAACAGGAGGATCACTATGAGTCCGATAGGTGTAGTGAGACCCTGTAGAACCTGTACCAAATTAAAAACAAAAAAATTGATACAGTCACAGAAAATGCAGACCTCCTTGATTCAGATGAGAAAGAAAACAGCAATGTGATTACATATTTGACCAGTTGAATGTTGCAAAATGGCCGTGCAACCAAATGGAACAAACCAATGTAAAAACTATGTCCCAAAATATAGTGAAGGTCTTGGCAGAGGTGAAACATATTAGGCAGAATACCAGCACTGCCATTTAGTGTTAGAAATTGTAGCAGATGAAATGTTAAAAGGTGTTGTGAAACAGAGACTGAAATGCAAAATGAATACCTTCTGTATGCACCAATAGCCGTATTTAAAAATTTATTTATTAGGACAGCTCATTAGCTGAAATAAAAGCATTCATAGGTCCACTGTATTTAGCACAGATTTCTTGTGTTGATGGCAGGAATGTAAAAGACTTAAAATTGATGGGTAAAATACAGCATAATAATGTATGTTGTAGATTTGAAGATTTATGCTTTCAGTTTAGACATTTATCCTTGAACTCGGCCATCAGGTCCTTATTTGTATAATAGATGATGTTGTGGACAGAATTGTACCCATTTCTCAGACTAATCAGAATGTGACATTCACCAGTTGGTTTACTGGTTTCCAACTGATGTTATGATTGCTAACAGCGCACAAGTTAACTGGTCAGGAACTGTATATAGGAACAAAACAAATTTCTGAGACTGGGCGTGGTGGCACACACCTATAATCCCAATTCTTGGGAAGCTGTAAACAGGCGGATCTTTATGAGTCTGATCTAGTAGTGAGGCCGTGAACACCCTGTGGACCCTTCCCTAAAATATAAGAAATAATTTTAAAAAAGTAGAAATTCCAAATGAAATTAATTTCTCGGGGCTGGAGAGATGGCTCAGTGGTCTAAAGCACCTACCTGAAACAAGCTTGGCAAAGCACAGGGACCGCGGTTCAATCCCCCAGCACCACATGCCAGCCAGCCCCGCCCCCTGGTGGGCTGAGCTGGCCACACACACATACAATAAATAAATGTAATAAATAAAAATAAATAAATAATAAAAAAAATACCCTTTTAAAAAAAAAAAGAAATTAATTTCTCTCTCTCTCTCTCTCTCTCTCTCTCTCTCTCTCTCACACACACACACACACACACAGAAATTAACTTCAGAACAGAGAATTGGGCTGGCCTGATAGCTCAGTGGACTAAAGCACCTACTTAGGCAGAGTGCAGTGGCCGGGGTTCGATCCCCAGTGTGTCAAATGCTCCATGTGCTAAGACGGTGATTGAAACTGGGTGTGGTGGTGTGCCTGTAATTCCAACGCTTGGGAGGCTGAAAACAGGAGAATCACTGAGTCCGCTCTACATAATGAGACCCCTTAGACCCTGTAGAGCCTGTCCTCAAAATACAGGGGGAAAAAAATCCAGAGAATTGTGTAGTACAGTGTTTGGATTTCAGAAGATGTAACATTGGCCTCGTATGTAACAAAGAAAAGCAAACTGGGAACTGCTGATGTTTAGGAAAAGAAAGCTATTAAGACTTGGAGTGGAGTTAGATACAATAATCTCTTCATCCCTCAGTTCTTTTCAAATTGTATCTTTCTTCAGGTACTAAGGGGCCTGACCCTAGCTCAGTTCTTTAAGTGGCTGCTTCGGCAAAGCTTTCAGCCTCAGGTTGCTGTAGTTCGATCTCCACAACACTCCAGCCAGCCAAACCACCCCTGAGGGCATTCGGAGCAAAAAAAAAAAAAAAAAAAAAAAAAATCCTTATTCCATTTCTTCAGGTACTAGTTATTGGTTTATTTATTTTTGCCCTTTTGAAACAGGGTCTCATTATGCAGCTAAGGCTGGCCTTGCTTGAGCTCATTTTGTAGCCCATGTTGGCTTGAACTCAGAATGATCCTCCTGCTTCAGCCTTCCAAGTGTTGGGTTACAAACATGTGTCACCACACCCGCCTCATGTACTACTGTTTTAAATTAAAATAAACAACAAAGATTACATTTTCTCCAAATGCAGTTAGAACATTCTTTTCATTATATCTATCTAAGATAGATAGATATACACACACATTGTATAATATACATGTATACATTATATATAAAGCTTAATTTACCCAAATATATTAAATAATCTTATGCTCAAGACGTAGTTAACAGCCAGTTGTGGTGGCACATGCCTGTAATCCCACACTTGGGAGGCTGACACAGGAGGATTAATGTGAATTTGAGGCCAGCTTGGAGTATATATAATGAGTTCAAGGCTAGCCTAAATTATGAAGTGAGACCCTGTCTCAAAAAAAAAAAAAAAAAAGAAAAGAAAAAAAAAAAACAAAAACCCAGTTAACAGTGAAAATATGTAGTGGGAAACATACTTTTATATCAGAACTATGTCAGTTACCTTTACTGCTGTTTTTTAAATGTGATCCACTTTTTTAAAAACTCGAGCTATATTTGTGTATGTATGTAAATTGGGTTTAAATTCCCACTAATTTGGCCATCTGAATAAGAGGTCACCTAATTTGCAGAAAGGAAATTGTGGGTGACAGAATCTTGCGGTCATGAGCACACTCTGCTGCTCAGCTGAGCTCTAGATTTAACTGTATGCCCAGATTGATCATGTTCTGTATGACTGTTGGCATGACTTGAGACAGGAAGCTGGCCAGATCAGAATGCGTTTTCAAAGAGACTAAATACTGTGTCAGTGGCACATTCTTTTAGGAAAGTTTGTGGCGAAGGCTACAGTGTAATCAGTCACAGGGAGATGTGCATGCGATCAGAATGGGGTGTTGGTTGATGGAGTTCAGAACCAAGCAGTCATCTTTGCTCCTCAAGATGGATCCACCACTCAGATTACCACTCTGAGTTTTGGGCTCGGGATATATTCTTCCATATTGGAATGTGCTCTTTTTTTTTTGAGACACTGTATTGTCTTCCTTTTTTCTTTGAACAGCCTCACAAATCAGTTGATCAGGTGAATTGCTTTTGATATTAGTGTAACCATGCTTTCTGCTTTGCTTTTTACACATTTCCACTGCCAAACCTGTGTACAGCTTGGTTAGGGAAGTTGCCCTTGTGAGAAAGATCACATTTGTGACATCTCTCATTCAGTTACTTTTCCAAACTTTGCCAACATTACTCTAAGTGGGTAACATTTTTAAATTTGGAATTGTGGGTGGGGGGTAGTTACTACTATTTTGTGCTTGTCCATATACTGTTTGTACCTCATTATTAATGCTATGGTTTGGGTTTTTTGCTTCTATTTCAGGCCATTTTCCTAATTGTAAATCATGTCTGATAACGGAGAACTGGAAGACAAGCCCCCAGCACCTCCCGTGCGAATGAGCAGTACCATCTTTAGCACTGGAGGCAAAGATCCTTTGTCAGCCAATCACAGTTTGAAACCTTTGCCCTCTGTTCCAGAGGAGAAAAAGTCCAGGAATAAAATCATCTCCATATTCTCAAGCACAGAGAAAGGTAAATAACTTTTGTGGTCTCAGTAATCTTGGTGTTGGCTTATTACTGTATGGTATCTCCATTAATATCTTTTTTTTTTTTTTCTTTTTTTTTCGGTATGGGGGATTGAACTCGGGATACTGTGCTTGCCAGGCAAGCACTTATGCCGCTGAGCTATGTATCTCTGGCCACACATTGATATTTTTTATGGAGAGAACACACACAGATCCAAGAAAACAATTGATGCTGTCCTCATCTGCATGTTGTGAGACCCCAAGTCACATTTTATAGCTTCTTGACATTAATAGGATTTGTAATGTCTTAGTCCAGTCTTGGTTGTTTTATAAAATATCTGGGCCTGGGTATTTAATTTATTTTTTAATTTTTTAATGTATTTTAGTACTGGGTCTACAGGGTCTCACTACACAGATCGACTCACAGTGATCCTCCTGTTTTCAGCCTCTCAAATGCTTGGATTATAGGCACCAGTAATGCCGCCACCTCAGTTTGCCCCGGGTGTGGGGCTGGGTATTTTATTTTAAAAAGAGGTTTATTTTAATGATTCTCATAGTTAGAAAGTCACACACAACTGGGCATGGTGGTGCACATCCGCAACCCCAGCATTAGAGACAGGAGAATCACCATGAGTTTGAGGCCAGCCTGTACTGCGTAGTGAGACCTTGTCTCAAAAATACCCAAACAAACAAGAAAAAGAAAATCCATGTATCGTGACCCTGGCAGCATCACAGCCTGACAAAGAATCAGGAAGAGGGCCAGCCAGATAGCTCAGCTGATTAAAGTGCCTGCCTGCTTAGGCAGACACAGTAGTGATGTTTGATCCCCAGCCTGCCTTGCTGGCCCCACCTCCAGTGCACACTGAGACAATGATTGAAACTGGGCATGGTGGCACGCATCTGTAATCCCAGCTCTTGGGAGGCTGAAAACAGAAGGATCACTGGGAGTTTGATCTAATGTAGTGAGACCCTATAGATCCTTACTAAAATACAAAGAGAGAGAGAGAGAGAGAGAGAGAGAGAGAGAGAGAGAATATCAGGAAGTGCCCATGTGGGCTAAGTGACAGGAGAGTAGGAAAGGGCCAGCTTACTCTTAAGACCATCTGCTCCTCACGAACAAATGTACTCCATGATCCAGCACCCATTTGCTCTCAGATGACCCTGTCCATCCTTGCTAGGCTGCACCTCCTAAAGATCCAGCCACCCTCCAGTCATGTCTGCAACTTCTGGGGCCAGCTGTACTTTAGAATTAAGCTTTTCTGGCTTTTTTGTTTTTATTTCGCGGAGCCCAGGATTGCACTCAGGCCCTTGAACTTGCCAGGCAAGCACTTACTCAACTGAGCCATCTCCCTGGCCCCAGTTTTTCTGATTTTTTAGTAGAAATACTATCTTTTTATCGTACATTCTATGATGTCCCCAGAAGGCTCTAATATAGCTTTGGTAATCAACATACTGATTTGTCTTCATCAAAATGTATGTCTAGCCCTGGATTTCTCAATCTCAGTGCTATTGACATTTTGGGCCAAATAGTTTGTGGTTGCATTAATTTTTCCCCGTGCATTATTGGATGGTAGCAGCATTCCTGGATTTTTGCACACCAGATGTCACTATTACCTACCTTGGGTTGACCACCAAATATGTCACCAGATATTTGCAGTTATCCTTTTGGGGGGCAAAATTGCCCCCAGTTAGGAAAACCACTGGTTTTTCTCACATAAAGTGAGATGAAGGCTAGAAATCTTCTCATATAAGTTAAAGTCACTAAATTAGTTCTGGTGTCAAATTTATTTATTTATTTATTTATTTATTTATTTATTTTAATGTATTTAGTACAAGGTCTACAGAGTCTCACTACATAGATCAGACTCGTAGTGATCCTTCCTGTTTTTCAGCTTCCCAAGCGCTGGGATTACAGGTGTGAGCCACCATAACCAGTCTCATTTGCTGTCTCAGGGCACCGCTGGCCCCTGTGTCTGCCTAAGCAGGCACATTAATCCACTGAGCTATCTGACCAGCCCTCTGGTGTCAAATTTAAGGAAGAAACTTTTGCTTTTCAGAGCTTTTGGTTTTTAAAAATAATGAACCTGAAGGATTTTAGAATAAGGATAAAGGATTTATTTAACCATAATTAGCTTGATAATGTGGCTCTTGTAGATAGTACTAGATAGAAATAGAGATGAAGATGCATCTCCCTAGGTTGGGGAGATAGCTCAGCGGTCTAAGCAACTACCTGGAAAGCAGAAGGTCCTGAGTTTGATCCCCGGTACCACATGCTGTACCAGCTCCTGGAACCCTGGGCTTGCCATGTCAGCCCTGAAACCAGGCATGGTGGTGACATACAACTGTAATCCTAGTGTGGGGAGACTGAGACAAGAGGATCATTATGAATCTGAACTGTGTAGCAAGACCCTGTATCAACAAATTAAAAAAAAAAAAACCTCAAATGAAAAATGGTGCTTTGAACATTAAAATATTTAACTCACATCAGAGAAAATTTTGAGTTAATATTAATAAAGACTCTAATCTTTTTTTTTTTTTTTCCCGGAACCGGAGATTGAACTCAGGCCCTTGGGCTTGCCAGGGAAGCACTTATTCTACTGAGCTATCTCCCTGGCCCCTAATCTTTTTTTAAAAAATGACTTTAGGACAGGGTTTACAGGGTGTACAGGGTCTCACTATGTAGATTGGACTTGTAGTGATTCTCTGGTTTTCTCGGCCTCCCAAGTGCTGGGATTACAGGCATGTGCCACTCTGCCCAGTCTCAATCGACGTCTCAGTGAGCCTCAGTAGCAGGGCTGGCATGGCATGCAGGGGATCAGACCCTAGCTGCTGTGCTCTGCCGAAGCAGGCACTTTAGTCTGCTGAGGTATTTGGCTGGCCCTTAAGAATCTAATCTTAATAGAGCGTGGTGGCACATGCCCTGTAATTCCCCCCAGAAAGCAGGTGGCTGAGGCAGGAGGATAGTGAGCTCCACCGCACAGCCTGAGTAGTTTAGCAACTTTGTAAGACCTTATCTCAACATTTAAAATTTTTTTTCAAAAAGGGGCTAAGAAAAAAAAAGGGTCAGGGGGCAAGGCTCTATGTAACTCAGGGCAAAGGCTGTTGTTCAATTTCCAATAAATACTGAAGAAAGCAAAAAACCAAATCTTGGAGAATTTAGTTTTGCAGACAGGACAAATTTTATTGTGTCATTATTATCTGATTTGCTTTTATTAACATTATCATGTGGTTGCGTGCCCTTGTAATCCCAGTTATCCAAGAGGATGATGGAGTTAGATTTCAAGTTCAGGGCAGTTTAGACCCTGTCTCAAAATTTAAAGAACTGGAGGTGTAGGTCAACACTTTCTGGGTTCAGTCTTTAATAAATAGGTAACAAAAAAATTTCATGTGAGGATCCTGGGATTGTAGCTCTGTTGATAGAGTGTATGGCCCTGGGTTTGATCCAGTATAGGGACAGGGGTCAGGAACAGAAATTTCACATGAGATTCTATGAAGAACCTAGTGAAAGCTGTCTTTAAAGTTTAACAGAGTGATCTGGTGCATATTGGGTAGGTTTTTGATTAAAAATGTACTCAACTGTATTAAAGGATTACATTTTCATATGTTGATTTTTTGGGGATCGTTTCCATTTCTAAGCTTTTGTGAAGAGTGGTCTAATAAATATGAGAATGTAGATTTCTCTGACATACTTACCTTTCCTTTAGCTACATACTCAATGGCGAGATTGCTGAGTTACACATTAGTTCTGTTATTATTATTATTATTTTATTTATTTATTTTTTTTGGTACCAGGGATTGAACTCAGGACCTTGGCACTTGCCAGGCAAGTGCTTATTCTACTGAGCTATCTCCCTGGCCCCTGTTATTATTATTTTTGAGGCACCTTGGTATAGTTCTCTCTCATGGCTGTTAACTTACATTTCTGGCTAGGCATGGTGGCACATGACATAATTCCAGCACTGGGGAGCCTGAGGCAGGAGGATCACCCCAAGTTTGAGACCGGCCTTGATTACATAGGGAGTTCAAGGCCAGACTGACCTGCATAGTGAGACCCTTTCTCAAAAAAAGAAAAAAACCAAATAAAAAACCCCTTATATTTCTATGAATCATAGGAATTTCTCCTCTATATTGTCTTCAGCATTTAATTAATTGTCTTTTGCGGGACAGGGGCAACAGGATTTCACTTTGTAGTACAGACTGGCATTGAACACACTTTGTAGGCAAGGCTGACCCCAGATTCACAGCAGTTCTCCTGCCTTAGCCTCCTGAGTGCTGAGTTTACAGACGTATGCTCCCAGGCTGATGCTTATTTTTTTACTTTTTATAAATAACTATTCTGACTGGAGTAAAATGATGTCTCATTGTGGTTTTTATTTGCATCTACCTGGTGATTAGCAGTGTTGAACATGTTTTTAAATGTTGGCCAAGTTTATGTCTTCAGAGAAAGGTCCGTTCAGGTTATTTGCCCATTTTTAACTGGATTACTCATCTTTTTTTTTTTTTTTTTTTTTTTTGCGGAACCGGGGATTGAACTCAGATCCTTGTGTTTGCCAGTCAAGCACTTATCCTACTGAGCCTTCTCCCTGGCCCCTGGATTACTCATCTTTTTGCTCTCGAGTTCCTTATATGTGCTGAGTCCTAATCCCTTAGTAGATGAACATTTTTCTCCCATTCTGCAGGTTTTCTCTGGTAATTATTTCTCTGCTGTGTAGAGGAATTTTAGTGTGCTATAATCCCATAACAACTTTTATGACAACATGACCAATCTTTTTGCTTGCCTACTAATATATAAATATGCACTGTGAGTCATCAGAAATACAGTGATAAGCAAAGCGGATAGTGTCCTTTCCCTCATGATACCAAGGGCTAGGGTAAGGGGTCTGTGTAATTTGAAATATTTGAGAAGACTTCCCAAGCAATGAACATAGAGCTGAAGACTCGAGGTTGGATAACTGAAACAGCAGCCAACAGTTGACTTAGCTTTTCTAGACTTCAATTCCAAATCTAGAATAGAGCTGGTCTCAACAGCTGAGTCCTAGGAAGGACTTGAGTCGAGCACACTGATGAGCTGAGTGCAGCACTGTGTGATTGGAAAACAGCGAGGGCGTCCCCTCCAGACAGCAGCAAGGTAGAGAAGGGCATAGAGAGCAGGTCAGACGGGGCTTTGTATTCCATGCTACGGAACTCAAGTTTTACCCTATTTCCTGGAATATGGAGTGGACAGGGGTCCTGATCACATTGCTGTTTGGTAGGTGAGATTGGTAGCTGTATAGGAACATAGATTTTGTTGGAGGTCTGAGACTGAGGTTGAAGACCAGTTAGGAGATCTTTGTAGTAGCCCGGGTGAGAAATTGCTTAACCAGTCTGGTAGTTTCTGTAGTGAAAATGACAGTGAGGCACTGCCTTGGCTGACTTTTCTTTCCTTTCTTTTTGTTTGTACTAGGAATTGAACTCAGCTTTTCTAAGCTCTATTCAGATAGCTGATGTTGTTGGGAACATAGAATTTACCAACTAAAGTGACTTTCACATCTAATTCTGTAACTTGTGTATATCTTTACTTCTGGCCATGGAAATGATAGATGTGGATATGTTTTGTTATATGAAATATGGAAGTTTTTCTCTCCAAAACTAAGCTATATCTTTTTAGTTCTTGGCTTTTAGAGTTCCATAGCTGCTTTATGTAGTAGCGACTTGCCAGTACATTGTTCAGCTTGAGACTTGGTTGAGTAGCTTTGCTTTACACACTGTATCTACTATTTATTACCTCTCCTGCTGGCACTAGTAAAAAGATAGGAAGTATTTGTAAAAAAATAAAAAGGTAGCTAAATAGATTTTTAGGGTATTGTGTTGTTTTCTGGAGTTCTCAATTATTTTCATGTTCTGTAACTTTATATATCTCTAACACATATGAAACTTTAATTTTTTTCTCTAAATTCTTAAAGTTGTCAAGCTGTAGAACATGGCCATGTGTTAGACAATAGAGGAGCTAAAGATTGATTCTCTTGCTAAAAAATTCATCTTTTTCCTTTCTGTGTACCTGTTTGCTATTTCTTGCTTCAGATTGGATTTTCTCTGTGTTAGAAAACACAGCCCTCAACAGTTTATTATTTATTTCTCATGACTTTATATTTATTTCTTTTAACTTTAATAACCAAAGACAAACTGCTCAGGGTGTAAAGACTGGCTTAGATAAATGTGACCCCTGGAGGAGTGGGCCAGAAACATGTGGGAGCCCCGTGGGTGATCTGGTTTGAGTTAAGTGTCGCTTCTTGGGCCAGTCATCTGTAATCAGGGTCAGGTGTGAAAATAGCAGTTTCCCCAACCACATGCATGGAGAAAGGTAGAGGAAGTTCCCAGAGATGAGATTTCAAACAGATTTTCTAAGAAGCGAGTATTTTTGTAGTACGTAAATTTACTTGCCTTTCTGTTGTAAAAGAACAGTATACAAATTAAATATTAAGGTTATAGTTGGGTGGCCAATATTTCCTCTTATCTGCAATATACTGGTTTAGAAGCCAAGGGACATAGAGAAGTAGAGGACATGACCTTGATTACACAGAGTGAGTCTGGTAGAAAATGAGAGGTTGGTTATGCTAGATGTAATTGTGTGTTTCCATAAAGATAGCCAAACTTCATACGGCTTTCCTTGGACAGTGTGCCCTGCCCTCTCCTCATAGCCACATGTCCTGTCTGCCTAGGAGACCTAGAGAAAAGATGATGTGAGCACATATCTATTGACATTAGTCAAAAAGTGATGTTTCTTACTAATGTAAGGTCAATTGTAGCTCAGTAAACAAAGAATAGCATGCGCTACCATTTCCATGGAGTGATTTTTTAAAACTGTTTTACAATAGAGTATTCCAGTTAAACATATTTAGCATGTTTCTACATGTCCCTGTTCTTCCTCCCAAGACCCAATCAAAATGACAGTAAATAAAACAATTGTTTAATTCTTTCAAAGGCACAAACTATTAATTGAGGGTAGGTTATAAAAGTTTTCAAAGTAGATTTGCAGGATTGGTGTGGGGCTGATGGTGGCAGTACACACCTGTAATCCCAGTACTCGGTAGGCTGAGGCAGGAGAATTTTGAGTTCGAGACCAGTATGGGGTACAAAGTGAGCTCAAGGCCAGTATAAACTTCATAGCAGAAACCCTGTCTCAAAAAGACAGAAAAAAAAAAAAAAAAAATGCTTAGCCAGGGCACCTGGCTAAGCCAAATAGCAGAGAAAGACATCATCTAAGCATTTGCAGAGGACAGTGTCTGTTGGAAGTGAACCAGTTTTTCTTCTAAAAATTCCAGAGGCTCAGGATTTAGAGGCACACAATACTCTGTGTGTGGGGAGGGGAGGATGTGATAGCTGTGCTGAAAAGAACAGGAATTAGTTGAAAATCTGCACAGGAAGTGTCAGACAGCCAAGCACTACACTTTTACCCCCTATAAAGCCATACAGTTATAAACTCCATTCAGTGGGCAGAGATGGGCAGAAAAGATATTTGCATTTTTTTCAGGAGAAATTAAACCAGTTTAATTAAACCCTTGTTCTTTTCAGGGGAGTCAGGAAAAGTTGAAACATAATAAAAAATGTAGATTCAGTGAAAGTTACAGAATTCCTTTCCTCTGCCCTGGTTTCAGAATACTTGTACCCTGACTCATAGCTCTCAAACAAGAGATTGGAAGATTTTTCTCTGGATAAACAGAATGCTCTGGAGAAAAAATACTTTAGATATCCTCTACCCCATCCCCATTTTTAGTGAAAGTTACCTTATCTCTCAGCCGTTTAATACTTTTTTGGTAAAAGTAGACAGCAGGGGATTGCCAGACCATGAAGAAAATCTTTAAACACGATAGTCCTTGACAATGGGAGATTTTAAAAAGAACTTTAAAAGAAGTAGACAGTGTAAGAAGAAAACTACCAAACCAGAAAAGCCAGTCAGTGTATACGTATTTACTGTATAATTTTCAAAGAGAGAAGATAAATGAATCTGTGAAACAAGACATCAAAGAGAAAAAAATAATCAGAAAACAAAGAGAAGTAATTCTTGGGAAATCAGTGTTTAAGATTACCAAAACAAAAAACCAAAACAAAAAAAGATTACCAAAACAAATACAAATAGGAAGAAGACTTGAAAAGTAATCAAGAAAATTCTCCCAGGGAGATCAACAATACACAGGTGGAAAATACAAGAGAAAATTACTGATAGTGAATGAGAGAGGGAACTATTCAAAGAAGTAACAGAAAAAAGTCTTACAGATCTTACAAAAATGATTTCTAGATTTAAAGGGCTCACCAAGAACTCAGCACATTGTATGAATGATGATCACAGGCACCCTGAAGTCTTAAAATACTAAGGAAAACCAGTGAGCAACAGGGCCTGGATTTACTGTCCCACCTAAAAGAACTAAAGCAGTGGGAAAATACACAAAAGAATAGTTTTCAAGACTTTGGAACCCAGGCAGTGAAATTAGATTTTAAAACTTAAAAAGTATTAGAGATTAGGAAGATTATTTTATAATAAATAGAGTTAATTCATTAAGATGTTACAGCATTACTAAACAACTTCAAAATGCGTGACACAAAATGCCAAGATTTGAGAGAAAAGTAGACAGATCTGGTTATAATTGGAGATTCCAGTGTACATCTCTCAGTAATTAAAGACTAGATTGAAACTTGGTAAAGAGATAATTTTTTTTTGACATCAGTTATTTTTATTTTAAAGAAAAAAAAATAAAAACAATAGTACAAAATCTCAAAACAAGATTTTAGGAGAGTAACAATGGTTAGTACATTGTGTAGTGTTACTGCCAAAGTAGTTTCTCATATTACAAGATATAGGCAAGAAATAATAAATAAACAATATAGGTAGGTAAAGAGATAATTGATTTGGACATAATTATCAACCAGTTTCACCTTGTGAATATTTATAAAACATTGTACCCAACTACTGTAGAATTCACATTTTTTAACTTCACCCGGAATATTTACTAAGAAAAATCATATTCTTGAACAGCTTTTAAAATACAATAAGTATAGGATTTAAATAATGTAAAATGTACTCTATGACCATAGTGTAATTAAATTAGAAATCAGAAACAGGAAGGTCTCTGAACATATTTAGAAAGTAAATTTTAAAAAATGAATGAAAATGAATTTTTTTTTTTTTTTTTTTTTTTGGTGGAACCAGGGATTGAACTCAGGCCTTTGCGCTTGCCAGGCAAGTGCTTATTTTCCTGAGCCATCTCCCTAGCCCGAAAATGATAACTTAGAACATCAGTGTTTGTAAGATACTGCTGAAATAATCCTTAGGGAAATTTCATAGTACTAAGCACCTATGTTAAAAAAATATCTAATGAGGGGCTGGGGAGATAGCTCAGTAGAATAAAAGCTTCCCTGGCAAGCACAAGGGCCTGAGTTCAATCCCAGTTCTGCCCAAAAAATGAAGGAAGAACGCAGCTGGCACAAGGAGTGGCCTTTGCAAACTTCTCCCCTCTGTTTACAGCAGGATCAACGAATTTACTTGTTTTCTCTCAGCTGGCATATTTATAGAAAGTCTGTTTTCTACAATAACTTTATTTCTATTCTGAGGAAAAATACAAACATAAGATTAAAAGTGGCTATATTAACCTAGTTTGAATATTCTTCATTGTTTTTTCTTAATGCTTTCTAGGAAGTAAAAAAAAAGAAAAAGAAAGGCCAGAGATTTCTCCTCCATCTGATTTTGAGCACACCATCCATGTTGGGTTTGATGCTGTTACTGGAGAGTTTACTGTAAGTTTTCTTGGTTGGAGTTTATTTATGGCATTAAAACACTAAGCCATTTTCTTCATCATTAATTTGACATTTTGTATCTACATCTTGTCAGTTTACTACTCTTTGTTTTTCATAAAAGTTTTAGTGACTGATTGTATCTTTTTTTTTCCCCCTAAAGAGCTGAGCCTATTAACTACAATTATACAGAATAGATGTAGAAAAATATTTTAGAAAACTAGACCCATTAGAATTTTAGTCAGACCTTAAATGGTGTGTATTGGTTTGTTTTATGTATTTTATGATTTACTTCTGAAAATGACAACAGTTCAAACCTCAACTGTTGTCTGGCTTTCTCGTGTCAGGGTATGCCAGAGCAGTGGGCTCGCTTACTGCAGACCTCCAACATCACCAAGCTGGAGCAGAAGAAGAACCCGCAGGCTGTGCTGGATGTCCTCAAGTTCTATGACTCCAACACAGTGAAGCAGAAGTACCTGAGTTTCACTCCTCCTGGTGAGATATCACATACTGATAAAGGACTGAATGACATGCAGACTTGTGAAGGATAGAACCAGGAACCTTGATACTAGGCCATACCCCCGGCCCTTTTATTATCATCATCATCATTACTAATTTTGGGACAAACTCTAAGTTTTGCTGCCACAGCCTTCTAGAGGGCTGAGGTTGCTAGTCTGTGCTCCACCCTCAACTAGAGTTAGATTTTGAAAACTGTGCAGGGGGCTAGGGATGTAGCTCAGTAGTAGAGTACTTGCCTAGTATGCATAAGGCCCTGGGTTCTATCTCTAGTACTGTGAAAAAAAGAAAATTGATCTGGATAGATCCTACCCATAAATTGGAGTCTGGAGATTGTATTCATTTCAGATTTGCCAGAAATGGATTTATGGGTATTTTTTTTTTTTTTCCCCTCCTTACTGCTTTTAAATGTCTTCTAGCTATAGAAGGAAAAAAGTAGATTGATGGACAAGTTCGTGGTCAAGATATATTGTTAGGGGGATAGAAGATTGTTTTCCTATATAAAAATACTCTTACAAATGTTTTTCTACTCAAATTGAATTTATTGAATATATAAATACATGAATAAGCATCATAAAAAGATTTATATTTCAGAACTGGAATATCACCAGGTAAGAATAAGGATATAATTGATTTTATTGTTTTGAATTTTTTAAACTGTAATTGATTTTCAAAAATAGCCACATATGGCAGTGCCTGTTTATAATCCCAGCATGCTGGGAGGCAGAAACAAGAGGATCAAATATTCAGACCTTGGTGTGGATAGTTTATTATTTATTTAGTTTTGTTCTGTTTTTTAGGCTGGGTCATGCTGTGTAGTTGAGGCCAGCTTTAAATTCATTATGGAGCTCAGGCTGCTTCAAACACACAAGAGTCCTCCTGGGGGTGGGATTACAGACAAGTGCCACCACACCCTGTCTTGGTGTAGGTAACTTAACAAATTAAAGGCTAGCCTGAGCTACACAGTGAGAGAACCTAAAAAGCCAAAGGAAAGAAGAGAGGAAAAAAAGGGCCAAAAGAATTTCTTCTCTGTTTTCTGGATTAAACACTGACCCCGCCCTCCTCTTCCCCCTGGAATTTTGAACTCAGGCTTTTTAGTAGGTTACATTCTCAGCCATTTCTTAAAAATTTTGACATAGAACCTTTCTAAATTTGAGCCCAGACTGAGTTTGAATTTGTAGTCTTGCCCCAGTTTACCAGAGTGCTGGGATTACAAATGGACATCTGCCCCCACTTTGTTCAAACTATTGTCAGGATCAAGTCCATACTTAGATTTGGTTGAGAAATATCTCAAATGTCTTTTTAGATTTAGGCTCCCCTTTCTTAGGCGGTTCTTATAGTTCCTTTTTTCCTGTCTGTCGTTGTTAAAGTATTTCTCTGGTTTTTCCTAGTATGGATTTTGTTAGTTACCTCTCCAGGGTTTCCTTTAATGTTTCTTTTTCTTTTCTTTTTTCTTTTGTTGACTGAACTGGGAATTGAACTTGGGCTCTTGCACTCACCAGGCAAGCGCTTATTCTACTGAGCTATCTCTCCGGCCCCTTAATGTTTCTTTGTAGCCAAAGTTATAAGTGTAGCTGTGTTCAGCACAGGTCTACAGGGTCTCACTACACAGATCGGATTTGTAGTGACCCTCCTGTTTTTAGCCTCCTAAGCGCTGGGATTATAGGCTCATGCCACCACGCCCAGTCTCTATTGCCCTCTCATCACGCCCTGGGAATGGGGACAGCGCAGCACGCTGGGGATCGAACCTAGTCTCTGTGCCTGCTGAAGCAGTTGTTCTAATCTGCTGAGCTATCTGGCCAGCCCTTATGTGTATAGTTGTAAAAAAATGGCGTGATGAAGGACTGGGGAGATGGCTTAGTAGAATAAACACTTGCCTGGCAAGCATAAGGGCCTGAGTTCAATCCCTGGTTCCTCCAAGAAAAAAAAAGAAAGAAAGAAAAAATGGCATAATTAAGCAGGGTATGTGGTGCATGCATGTAAGCCTGGTCACTCTGGAAGGCTGAGGCAGAGGATCACAAAGCTAGTTTGAGCAATTTACCAACTAGTAAGATTTTTGAGGGCTAGGGATGTATCTCAGAAGCCCTGTGTTCATTCCCTAGTATTACCATCCAAACCCTCACAAAAAAAACAAAACAAAAAAAAAAAACAAAACACTAAACCAAAATTAAGGGACCAGGGAGATGGCTCAGTGGAATAAGCGCTTCCCTGGCAAGCGCAAGGGCCTGAGTTCGATCCCCGGTTCCACCAAAAAAAAAAAAAAAAAAAACCACCAAAATTAAATATTTAACTATATTTGCCACCTCACATCAAGAAGGAAACTAGAAATGGAGACATCTTTGCAAATGATCCTGACCCTGACCTCTTTTACTTGCGTCTGGTACATCCTAGTTTTTGTAAATTAGTAATTGTTTGTAAAAGAAGCAAAAAAACTTTTTTTTTTTTTTTTTTTTT